AGGAGAGAGTGTACTTTGTTGCCCTTGGCCGTGGCTTTTTTCTGAGCTCAGCCAAGTTACATCCAAGCGACGCCCATGCGCCCTCTTTAAAGCGAGCACCTAGTTGGCGCCTAGGAGCACATCCTCCTAGGCAGCAAGGCAGCCGAATTTTTCAACCTTGATGGAGATAGAATATCTTTTTGGTCATATTCTTGGATAGGTTGCAAGCATCGTAAAAATTATGTGGCCAAAAATATTCCTTGTAGCAAGTCTTTAGGATATCACTTTCAACTGTGTAACAGAAGACCTAATTGCCCTCCTTAACGTGCTCTAAACCTCTTTTTCTCCCAAACAGGACATGAAGAGTCATTGGACTCATTCCCCTTTAGGGAACTTCAGTATCCTGTTTCAACCAACCGTGCCTCCCTTTAAAACAAAGTTTGGATCTCCCCTTTCCCACCAACGTCTTGGCCTTTAGTTGGGTAGCGCTATTCACAACCGTAAACCTCACCATTGACTAGTTCCAAGAAAGAGTTTTCCTCTTGCAGATCATTGTCGCATGCACTTTGAAACTGAGGAATCCATTCTCTCATTTTCCTACATTGTAGTGTAGCCTCTTTCTATGGGACTTGACCCTTAAGGACTTCAATTGTAGAGGTTGCTGTAACCTCAATCTTTTTGGCGTCTAACTGCAAACCTTTGAAGCATCTTGCCAAATTGGAATTTGTCTCACATTGGTCAGACATAATCCATGTTGGAAAAACCGGGCGATCTAACCAGTAACTGCCCAATTAGATCGGAACCGGCCATTGGCCTGTTCCGGTTTCGGGTGGTTTTGGTGTTGAGCCCGTATTTAAAAAAAAATGTATATAAAATCCCAAAAATAATCCAAACTTTATTACATAAATTACTTATTGTTAAACTAAAATTTATGTGACTTCTCCTCTAAACTTTGGAGTAAAATATTGCAACTACAATTTAAATAAATTACTTATTGTTAAACTAGAATTTATATGTGACTTCTCCTTTGAACTTTGGGGCAAAATATTGCAACTCTTTGGCATCGAATGGGTCACCCATCCTTCTGTCAAAGCGCTCATCGCTTATGATCTACATTCTCAATGACCGAAGGCTACAAGAGTCTTGTGGAAAGCAACCTTAGCGGCAACTATATGGACCATTTGGGTGGAAAGAAACAAAAGAATCTTCCAAGGTTCAAAACTACAAGTCTCAACACTCCTGCACAAGGTAACTTCCATGGTCACATTCTGGGCCTCGAAGCACAAGGTATACTCAGGCATACCAAGGAGTTTGTTCTTCTCTCAGTGGAAAAATATCCTCTACCACCAACCGCGACAGCCACAAAGAACCAACAATTGGCTACCACCCCAAAAGGAATCATTAAGCTAAATTTCGATGGTTGCTCCCTCAGGAATCCTGGCTCGGCAAGGGCTGGGGGGGTCTTTAGAGACCATCAGTATAAAGTACTCCTTACATTCTCAGAGCATCTTGGCATCAAGGATGCACATGACGCAGAAGCCTTGGCCCTCCTACAAGGCCTGAAAAGGTTCAACCGTTCCTGAGGCTTACACCTCATCATAGAAGGAGATTCAAAAAACGTTCGCTCGGGGGCAAGTAGGACTACCTCTCCACACGATGGTACCTAACCACTATCTTTGATGAAATGGACCATATTTGCAGGGATATGGACGTCTCTTGGAGGCATATAGGGAGGACATCCAAGGACTTCGCAGATCTCTTGGCGAAAGAGGGAGCTAGTATGCGAGTAGAAGATCAAGCCGGGGTCGACTCCTTTTTTGCACAGGACCTTTGGTACAGCTCATCAACATAGAGTATAAGCTGGCAATTTTAGGCCTTCTGTAATTTTTGTAATTTTTGAAAGCTTCATGTAAATCCTTGAATTCGGGAGGAATCTATAAGCCCTTTTTGCATATGATACGCTGATGGTTTTTACCGAGCCACCCCTAGCGGGTGAACTAACTCGGACTTACCAATACTTGTACTTATCTCTTTCAGTAATACAATGTTAACTCTTTCAAAAAAAAAAAAATAAGAAATTTTATATGGATGTATCTTCCCATACCGACTTTTTTTGGCAAAGCACTTGACGATCTTAGTACATGTTAGACACCCACACGAGTGTCGGTGTCTATGTAACACTGCTTATCAAACAGATGACAACCAAGTGTTCGCAATATCATACAACAAACTCACCACAGAATAGTAGTCTATACTCTATAGGAGGACTAATTTCAGCAGAAAATGATAACCAACAATAGATTCCTACTAGATCTAAGGTTTGGGCTAAAGGTAGAGATGCCCCACCTGACAAGTAAGTTTCAGTTTGTATCGTTCCCTATAATGTCATTGTTAGGGTAAAATTCCCATTTACAATGTCAAACAAGTGACACTTCACACCTATTGCTGCATCAAAGTGAATGTTGAAATAGACCACAGAAACACCGTATCATCATGCCTCGCAATTTAATCTATAAAAGTCAGGAATGGAGACTCTTGAGGTACTACAAATCTTATTTCATTGAGCTAAGAAAAAAGTGCTCACCTGGTAACAGCATAGAAAAGGCTTCCATAACCCACTTGTCATCTCCATATATACGTAGGGATATCTCTTGCTGCCAGGGTTTTTTTGTGACAGAAGAGGCAATACTTGAAAATGCTACTTTTCCAAAATGGCCTATAGTCCTATGCAACTGTTTGAGGTAAATTTTAAATAAAACTTGCAGTTCAACATGTAAGTTTTTTGGAAAAAGAGATAACACTCCAAAGAATTTATCCTAGGCCACTAAAAATGCTCGAATAAATTTAGCATACTGACTTTCCTTAACGTATTATTTCTTTTTGCTACATAATTTCCATTGCACTGCAAATTACTACCTGTAGGAAACTTTATACTTTCTTTTCAATTTGGAAAGATTGTAAGTTTCAGTATCCGGCTCATTTTCTTCCAAGGTACTAAGTTTAAGAAACCAGAAGCTAATACCCATGTTTATTCCTACATGCAGCACGTAAAGGATAAATCAAATCATAAATCCAGCAGACATTGAGGTTCCAGTGGATAACATAAATGTAGGAATCCTAGAAATATCTCCCCTAGTGGCCCAAACTTAAATTGCAATTTCTAGCTTTCAATAAAACTTTTGCTACTTATCATAAAGAAAGAAAAAACAATCCTGGAAATTACTTGAAGATATAAAAAGAGCCTATCATGCACCACCTCAAACCAAGAAAACACAAACAAGGAATGCTACAAGAAATAGCTAATATATTTAATACCTGAGCCTTTTGCAGGCCATCAGAAGCTTCTGCTAAAACTTTATTATCTTGACCCAAATCATTTCCAAACTGCAAGCACTTTTTAAACCATGCCAATGCATCATCAATTTCCCCAAGTGCAAGATGACAGCTGTGAATAACAAAGATAGAAAATGAAATAAACAAACCATACTAACAATACTTCAAAACATGCAATAATACATCGCTGGAACAACTTTGATACATAGAAAGTATCAAGGCTTTCATCATTGGCATCCTAAAACAAACAATAGGTAATAGTTCCAACCAAAACATCAGCTTCAATCTAGCACAAACACTAGTACAATTAAAACCAATGCAACCATTTCTTGATACAAAATTAATGGCTGGATGAATATTTCAAGGAAGTTGTCATACAAGGTAAAACGCACATTTGGAATATCCATTTCTAACACAAATCTCAAGTCGAAGGAAAACTGTGGCAGGAGCTTTGAGACACCAAACTTAGTAATTTACTTAAAGTACACAACTGCATCTTTTTGTAGTGGATCTAGAGTTCTTCACTAGCTCCAAATAACAGGCTTCTAAACGACAGAAACATCTTGTTCTACCACAGTTGCTGGAAGCACGAGAGATCAGAAGCGTTTTAGGAATTGGAAGTGCGGAATCACAAGCAGCTAGAAGATTCCTACGGTAGGAAGTATTGTATGTACAATACATATTGCAGGAATCGAGATTCCTACTTTCAGGAATTGCATTCCAACCCACAGCCATTGGGACTGGGAGCAGATGCGAAAGCTGGAGCGGGAGCCTAGGATTGACCCATGACTGAAGTTCCCTACCTTGGGAAAGCTTGAGAGCGCTGTTTAAGCAGCACGCTCAGGAGTCGCTTGATATATCTACTATATTGGAATGCTTGAGGAACACCATATGTATGTATGTATGTATGTATGTATGTATGTATACATATATATGGTCAGATTTGTATAAGGGGCCCATCATATACCATACAGATAAGGCACGCCTCTAATTTTGCCAGAAGATCCAGTTTGGTGTGGAAACCCTATAATGGCTTGAAAATCCATGTTCTACCCCAATTATGAAATTTAAATTCCAAAAAAAGGTGCATATCGAGTAGATCTATAAACATTTGAAAATCTTGAAAATAAATGATCTAGATAATTTGTTACATGATGCACTATTTTTGGGACTTGAAATTCTTTTTTTCCTTTGCATCCATACATCTCGAGATCTATAAACATTGGAAGGTTTTTTTACCTTCAATCCACTCTTTTCTACTAGATTTTTGAGCTGCACCTTAATTCTATTAGTATAAGGTTGCAACCTTATATGAACT